TTATCAATATTATTATTATCATTATTATTATTATTATTATTATCATTATTATTATTATTATGGTTATTATTATTATTATTATTATTATTATTATTATTATTATCATTATTATTATTATTATTGCCATTGTTATTATTACCATAATTATTATTGGTATTATTATTATTATTATCATTATTATTATCATCATTATTATAATTTTCATTATTATTAATATAATTTCCATTACATTATCATTATTATTATCATCATTATTATAATTTTCATTATTATTAATATAATTTCCATTACATTATCATTATTATTATCATTATTATTATTGTTATTATTATTATTATGGGATTCTAAGCATTTCTGCACTGGCTGGTCTTATTACCGTTTTTCTTCGTGTTAGGCGAGTCACAACAAATGACTAAAGGCTAACAGGTTTCCTTCTCCTTTAAAGTTGCAGCACTTTTCTCAGTATTCTTGCCGTCCCCAATAAAGCAGTCTTCTGCAATACTCCAACCTCAGGCATAATGTCCATATTTTCAATCCAACATTCAAGATTTTTTATAACGCTTCCGAGGGCACCAATCACTACTGGAATAACTTTTGCACATCGCAGTTCCCACAACCTTTTTATATCCATTTTCAGATTTTGGTACTTTTCTACCTTCTCTAACTCTTTTTCTGCAATCCTCGTGTCCGCAGGGAAAGCAATGTCAACTATCAGAGCCTCTTTATTTTCCTTTTGAATTACTAAAACATCTGGTCTTCTTGCCTGAATGACGTTATCACACTGTATGTTGATATCCCACAGAATTTTCACAGCCTCATTCTCAACAACACCTTCTGGAATGTGTTCATACCACTTATCGGAATGTTCAAGCCCGTGTTTCCTATACAAATCCCAGTGTATCTTCTTTGCCACGTTATCGTGACGCCTTTTGTACTCTTTCTGGGCTAATTTCTCGCACTCTGAATCAATATGTTGTATGCTTTCACCTCGTTTACCACACATTCTACACAGTGGACTGTCGCTGCTCATATCTATATAGTGCTTCACGTAGTTGGTCCTTATTGCTTGCTCTTGTGCAGCACATAGAAGAGTTTCCGTTCCAACCTTATTATTATTATTATTATTATTGTTATCATTATTATTATTATTATTATTACTATTATTATTATTATTATTATCATTATTATTATTATCATTATTATTATTATTGTTATTATTATTATTATTATTATTATTGTTATTATTATTCTTATCATTATTATTGTTATTATTATTATTACTATTGTTATTGATATTGTTTTTATTATTGTTGTTATTGTTTTTATTATTATTACTACTATTATTTTCATTATCATTATTATTTTAACCATAATTATCATCATAATCATGATTATGATGATGATGATGATAATTACTTTTACTATTATTATTAGCAGTAGTAGTAGTATTCCTGATATTACCATTATTTTCATTATTATTACTATTAGTATTATTATTATTAGCAGTAGTAATAGTGTTTTGATTATCATTAGTGTCATTATTAATATCATTATTATTTTTATTATTAGCATAATTGATATTACCCTTATCATTGTTGTTAATAGAGTTATCTCTTTTATTGTTCTATTGAATTTGGTATCATCAATGTCAATAATGTTATTATCATTATTGTCATTATCATCATCATCATTATTATTATTATTATTATTATTATTATTATTATTATTATTATTATCATTATTATTATTATTATCAATATTATTTGTTATCATATTATTATTATTATTATTATTATTATTATTATTATTATTATTATTAATTATTATTATTATCATCTTATTGTTATTATCATTATTATTATTATTATCGTTATTGTTATTATTATTATTATTACTATTATTATTATTATTATTATTATTATTGTCATTATGATAATTATATTTTCATTATTATTATTACTATTGTCATTATTTCTATCACTATTATTATTATTGTCAATATTATTATTATCATTATTAATATCAATATTATTATTGCTATTGTTGTTGTTATTATTATTATTATTATTATTATTATTATTATTATTATTATTATTATTATCAGTACCATCAATATCATTATCGTTATTAATGATATCATTTATTATTTGTTATTTTCACCGTTGTTGTTATTATTAGTAGTAGTAGTAGTAGTAATATCATTATCAGCATTATTAGTAATTATTATTATTATTTTCATTATGTTAATTATAATTTCTATTATTATCATTACCACTGTCATTGTTATTTTTATTACTATTATTATAATTTCTGTCATTACCATCCTTATTATTCTCATTATCAATATTATCATTATTATATGTTACTATTTTTACTGTCATCATTGTTAACATTTTCATTATTATTCTTATTATCATTATTGTTATTATTATTAATAGTAGTGGGAGTAATAATAGTACTAGTATCATTATTATGGTTATTGTTATTACTATCATTATCA